AATGCACAGCATGCCATTCTACTTCTATTCGTTATTTGGAAAAAATAATCATTAGTGCACCACAGTGGGATGAGATCATTGGAGTCCCCAGATTTACTACCTTCCAGAAGCTATGTCATTCTCTTGTGTCTTTGTTTTCTTCACATGTGAAATAGTGACGGGTTGTGATGAAGGAGAATGATCTATGAGAATCACTCTGTAGGGCCAGGGTGTACCTACATAGTAGAGTGCTCGCCTAACATGCCCACAGACCTGAATTCCATCCCTAGCACTAGAAATGAACAAAATGCCAAGGCCAGGTCATAGTGTATAGCTTGTGCTCAGTAAAGAGGAACTCAAATGATTAAGAAAGTAAAAACCCTAGCATTAGTTTTAAATTGTATGTTCCAGCTTTGGCTCTTTGTCGAATTATCTCATATTAGAATAGCATGTTTCATTTAATAGCATACACATTATATTTTTAAATTGGGAGTTTGCCTGATCATTCTTAAATGTTTTATATATTTTAAGATTATAATGCAATGGCATCATTTCTCCCTTTCCTTTCCTCCCTCCAAACCATCCTGTGTGCCAGTCAGTGCTCTCTTTCCAATTAATGGCCTCTGTTTCCATTAACTGTTGGTACGTGTGTGTGTGTGTGTGTGTGTAATTGTGTGTGTATTCTTATTTATAACCTGCTCAATCTCTCTATTGTTACCTGTATGTATGTTTTCAGGACTGATCAAAGTTTGGTATGCTACAACTAATTTTTGTGCTCTCTGCTGGGAAAAACTATTTTTCCTGCTCGCAACATACCTTAGTTGCCTCTAGTTCCTTGTATAGGGTTGAAGCCGTGTGAGCTTTCCTTGTCCACATTAGCATGTCTATCAGTGTCCTCCTTGTTCAACTCATGTTCAGTCAGCCACGTTAGTGAGACTTTATGCATGTCGCTTCTGACATTTCTAGGAGACATGATCTCACAGAAAACTCCCTGTCCTGGTCACTTTTCTTTGTTGTGCTCCTTCGAAGACCTTTTAGCTTTCAGAATTAATTTTCTTATCAATGAAATGTCATTCCCAAGGAGAGAAAAGAAGGGTATGTGATCTAATAATATAGACCTTAGAAGAAAAGTCTTGATTAAATTTTCCTAGTGGAGAGTCTTCTAGCGTGGTGTGACAGGTGGCCCTCCCTTTAGTCTGATAGTTAATGCTGCCGTTGCACCAAAAGGAACTTAGGAGAGGTACTTTGTGTTAGGAGGGGGGTGGATCACAGGCTTAGATGCAGATAGTACTTCTGTTCGTTAATTATGTAGCTTTCCTCAAGGCAGTTATTTGAACTTTCTGACCATCATTTTCCTCTTCTCTAAAATGTAAGTTTAAATAATACTTAAAATGCTTTGCACAGCATCACTTCCCTGTCTTTCTTTCAAAGTCGAGTTCAACGTGTCCACGGGTTCTTCTACAGCCGCAGGGTCTCACTTTGTATCCCAGGCTGGCCTCAAGCCCAAGCTCTTCCTGCCGCAACCACTCTCTTGAGTGCTGAGGCCACAGGTGTATGCCCCCATGACCGCCTTTAGCTTCTCATTTACAGATGCACAGTTAATTCCTTTCCAACCAGACAACAAATTTCTCAAGTGTATCTCTTACCCTACAGAATGTAGTGTTGAGATGGTAGCATAAATATTTCTTTTTTTTCTATTTTTTTAATTTATTTATTTCTTTATTAATTAATTAAAGATTTCT